CCAGAAAATGAGGCAGGCAGGAGAACAGCAGAGCATCCCTCTGAAGAGTAAATAACACAGAAAGAAGGAAAATGTGAGAATTATGGAATCACCCTGAGGATGCCCCAGTGGCTAACATGGAATCCTCTTCTTTCAGGCACCATTTTTAAAATCTAAAACAAGGCAGGGTGGACCCTGAGCTCATACTGACTCCACAGAGAGTGGGGATGCCAGTCATCCTCGAGGGCAATGGGGTGGCCCTCATAGGCAACAAACCTATTCCTTTCCTAGTGAAGAGGTTAAAGGAGGACTCTGGGAAAGTGGTAAATGGAATCTTTTACCTGTCTGCCCAATAAGGTGAAGGGAACCTGCCTGGGAACCTGAGCCTCCACCTCTTAGAGCATTTCCTACATGCTAGGAAGTGAAGACAACGAGTGGGGCTGGTGTTGCCTGCTGACAAGTTTCTCCTTTGGCACAGCTGGTGGTACAGGCTGTGGCTATCCTGCTGCATGTCCTCATCTGGCAAGTGTCATAGCCTTGGGGCATCCAGTTTGGCACAGTCTTGCTGTGTTCGGTCTCTCCATCACTGGCCGGGTCTTAGAAGCACAGGGTGGCTCACTGTTCACTGTGCCTTCTTGTACAGAGCTCTGGTCTCTCACTTGTCCTGCACCAACTGCAGGTGCCAGAGCTCATGCCATCCCAAGGAAGGCAGGGAGGTAATCTGAGCTATCAGGACAGCATGTGTCGTCTTGTTTGCCCAGCTTGGTCAGTGTAGACTGGAGACTGAATAAGAACCATCTGACTCAGTCCCTGCTGGAGACTGGCAGGACAGTGAATTTGATTTTGCTGGGCCCCCATTTCCCCAGTGCTCAGTTCTCTGCTGCTTAGACTTCATGCAATCAGCCACACCTTCCTTCCTCCCTTGTAAGTGGATGGTCTGAAATGGGCACCCATATATGCAGAAAACAAAGTATCTGGAAGCTGAGTTTTCACGGAAGGTATTGGTGAGAGTGGTATGTGGTAGTGGGGGGGAGGCTGAAAGGAGACGCATTCAGCCCTTCAGTGAGTTGAGGCTGGGGTGTTTGCTTCATTTCTGTGTTTGCCTCAGAGCATGGACGGAGCAGTGGGGCTGGTGGGACCAGCAGAGGGCAAGCGAAGGCTGTGCAAGGCCGGCTTGCTCTGGCTCTGCAGAGCCTCCATCCCCAGTGGCTCCCACACTTCATCCTCCCTACAGCTCTCCCAGCCCTATCTGGATAGCACTGGCAACAGCCACCCCCAGCACTCCCACTTTCGCTATCAACACATACAGTTCTTCCTCCTGCTTCTGCCAGCTCCCCGTTCTGTTGTTCTCCCTCCCTCTTCTCTAGACCTGAGGAACCTGGTGTGGTTTGAAGGCCCCACTATTTGCTGAGATTTATCTCTGCTGGGACTACCACATAAACTCAGAGAAATCCTCCCTCCCTACCACTCAGCACAGGGAAAGCTCCTTCTGTTTCCCCACCATGCTGTTGTTGACATAGCCTTCAAAGCCCATTGCTTGCTCTATTCAGTCCCCATTCCTTCTGATCTGTCCCAGGCCCAGCAGTAGAGGACTGGATTTGTCATAGGAGTGGTTTGCATCTCTTTCTCTCTGTCAAAAGCAACAGCCAAGAAAGCCCACTTGCAGGACTGGACCAGCTGTGAGCATTTAGAAGTGAGTGTCTGTCTCTGTCTCTTTGCATTGCCTGGTGCAAAGGGCAGATTCCTGCAGGAGAGGATGTGAGATATCTGGCCCCAGAAGACTTGGTGCTTGAGCCACAGCTTTTGCTCCAACAGCCTGTGCACACCTGACTCCATGATGGAGCTGGGAAGGAGTTGTGTCCTTCCAGAAATCCTTTGTTAAATGAGAAGCACCTAGCATCAGACGTCTTACTTCCAGGTGCCACAAGGCTAGTCTGGGGGGTAGGAACTGGTGCACATGCAGAATGAGACTACTGACCTTGCAAGTAGCAGAGCTACTGGCATATACAAGGATGACAGAAATCACACAGTGTGTTCACCCTCCTCTCCTCCCAGCCCTCCTCCCTGGGAGACCTGCTCCAGCAAAGGACAATGTGCAGTGAGGTGAGTGCTGGTAGGTTGCTGGGTACCCATCTTTGCAATAATGTTTGCATGCCAAGGGACAACCAAAACGTTGGTGCTGCAGGTCTCAGTGGTTTGGCTCCTACTACAGTGAGCCTCATTAGCATCCTCAGCAGCCCCACGGTTTGCCAAGTCCGGATTTATACCTTTTCTCTTAGGTGCTCTGTCCATCTCTGCAAAGTACTGGGAACAGTGGAAGACTGGGAACAGTGGAAGTGGGGAACCAGGAAACAGCTTTTGCCTTTCTCAGTTGGTCTTTCACTGAAGTGAGACCTATGGACACTGGTTCAAGGACTTTCCATGTATAGTGGGCACCATCTCTTCCATTACTTTTGGGTTCCAGGACAAGGGGGTCCCACACTTTCCTCTAAGTGTGAAAAAAGCAGCACTGAAACTACTCTGAGATTCTGGGAGGTGACACAGCCCCCCAACTCAGCACTACACTGGAGCAGCTGAATCAGGCTGGCTCAGCATCACTGCTCACTTTCATAATAGTCTGTGTGCTTTCCAGTGGGGAAACTGCCTTCAGCTCAGTCCTTGGGACCACTTCTGCTGGGGGTCCTCTGAGGATCTTGGAGCCATACCCCCTTCTGCCCTCCCCGCACCCCCCCAACCTTGGTCATCCCAACCTCATTTCAGCCCAGCTACAATGACCTGAACTTTCCTTATGATCACTGGCTTCTCTGCAACATGCTCACATCTGGCCTGCATGCAAGGCAAATCCTGGCCCTGCATTTGCCTTCCTCTCTGGTATCTTCATTTGGACTTCCAGGGCTTTGCAGCCTGTGGCTTGCTAGCTGTCCAAGTGCTCGAGAGTCCCAGGGAGAGACGGTGGGACTGCGATACACCTGCGGCATCTCTAACTGCAAGTGCCTTGAGGTTACTCTGTCCATCTCCTAGATCTCCTTAGCCTTGTCTCCTGGTGGTTTTGCCCTTGTTTACCCATGGTTGTGTCCCTGCTGTTCGAGTGGGGGAAATGTATTTGGTACAACAAGGTTGACAATGCACGAACAGCATTTCCTTTGGGACTTTGGGCCAGCTGGGGTCTCTTCCTTCAGCAAGCATTTGCAAGCCCACCAGGGGCAGAGGAGACAAACTGAGTTTCTACTTCTCCCGGAAACCTCTTTGCCTGAAATAACAGGATTGTTGCTGCTTTGCCTGGCTAACCAAGGGTCTTCAGGGAGAGGAGAAATGCACGGGATGCTGAATGGGAGCCTCGTGCTGGTGGTCAGTGCCCTTAAATGTAAATGGGGGCCAAATCTAGCACCATACTGGCACCTTGACTTTCTCCTCTCCTGTGGTATCCTTGTCAGTCCTTGCATTCCTTGCAAGGGCATCTGTGGGAGGGACATTTCCCAGACTGAACTGGGAGATGTGGGGATCAGCCAGGGAACTAGGAAGAGTTCCAAATACTACCCCACCTAACCAGTGGCCTCAGTGAGCAAGGTGACTCAGATCCAGGTTTTATGCTCACCTCCACTTCCTCACATAACTGTTGATTAAATTAGTTTCCCTTTTTTTCTGCACAGAAATCACGGAGTCAGTTCACAGGTGACCTGGGGATGGCTAAAGGGTAGGCATGTCAGGATGAAATCTGGAGGTGGCTGCAAAGGGGAGACTGTCTGGGCTGTGGGTGTCAGTGGACTAATACCCATGTTTGCTTCCCTCCTGACCAAACATCACAGGCCAAGCCTGGCCCTGCTGCTGCAACATATGAAAAGCCCCTGCATTACAGGCTAGAGCAGACACTCCACACCATAGTAGGAGGCCGTTCACCTGCCTGGTAAATCCCTGATTTCTTCTGCTTTGGGGACCAGGCAGAGGATTATATGCTGCCTTTGCAGCATCAGATGCACATTCAGTTTACTGAGCCGCCAGCTCCTGGGTACTGCAGCATGGTGTTGCCTGTGCTGTCACGCTGGCTGACCCATCAGGATGGCTTGCTGTTCTCAGTACGATCATCTCTCTCCTGGTTTCACACACTGGGTGATGGGTGCGCTTCCTACTGGGACTGGCAAAAAAATGCTAGGGTGGAAGGTGCCCATCTGCGCCTGAAAGGAGGCTGCCCGCAGGGCCGTGGTGGCCCAGGTCTCCTGCGAGTAGAAGAGCATAGCTGTCGCACCTGACCCACTGCCCCGAGGCAGGGCTGCGAGTGAGGCCGGCCGGCGGCAGGTGGGGGCCACAGCCACCGAGGGCCCC